CGGCGCTGGGCAGCGGCGCCTCGGCCGGACTGGGGGGAGGGCGGGGGGCTGTGCCCACCTCGGCTTCACTTCGTCCGAGGCTGGGACCGGCCGGGGCTCGCGGGGAGCTGTGCTTGTGCACCCAGCCCGGCTGTAGCTCTCCGTTCATATCTCCGTATGTAATCTCTCTCCTTCTCTATAGATCTCTGTATCTAATCCATCATATCTCTCTCTATACAGGTATCGCTAATCTCTGTCTCTCCTTGTCTGTGTATACATTTAATCCCTCTCCCCACCCCTCTTTATATCTAATCTCTCTCCCCTCTCCATATATATAGCCATATCTGTATCTATATATTGATATATAGATAGATATCAGTATCTAATCTCACTCCATATATAGATATATCTATATTTATACTTTTTCTCCATATATATATATGTCTAATCCCTCTTCCCTAATATATCTACTTTCTCCCTTGTATTTATGTCTATAGCTATATCTAGTCTCTCTATAAATCTGTATCTCATCTTTCCCTCCCCCTTCCTGTCTATCTGTCTATATATAGTTAATCTCTATGTATAGACAGATAGATATATGTGTGTGTGCGTGTATATATATATATATATCCCTCTCTATAGATATATAGCTATGTCTAATCTCCCTGTCTCTCTTTCCATATCAAGTTTGGTTAGTTTATAAATTATAAATCTGCGCTGCCTTCTTGAGACACCACCATACTGAGGTTTTGCTGACTTCAGGAAGTTTTGGCTAAAGTTTGCTTTGGGTAGGGGGGAGGTCAGCAGATTGGGTTGGCTGGAAGCATTGACTGTTCTACAGCATAGATCTAAGGGGAGTTAGCTCCAGGTTAACTAAAGTTGACCAGGAGTCAACCAGAGCCCTGTTTGTGGTTAGGCACACAATTTGGGAAGTGAATAACTGGGAATGAGTGGACTGATGTACACAAGGAGAAACCAGGGTAGGTAGCAGAAACTGAACAGGGGTAAGGGATAAAGATGGTTGACAGCAGTGAATAGTTTGAGGGCAAGCAGGGTGCAGCAGAGATGTGTTGGGTAAAGATACAGGAATGAGAGATGCAGGGAGGTGGGATGGGGTGGGGTGGGGAGAGGGGGCAGTGAAAACTAAGCTCCTCACGTGTACAGACGTCTGTGTTAGATTAACAGGACACTAGGAGTGTGTTCGTACAAGGAACATCTATCCAATTTGATGTTCAGAAGCCATTTATATACATGATTAAATCCAAACTGATGATGATGATGAAACAAATGCTTTGATTAAAAGCCCATTTTAATCATCCTCTATCAAAGCTTAATGTTTGCACTAGCTTCTCTGCTTGGGCTTCCTCTCTTATTTCGTTACCTTGAAGGATCTTTACTTTTGTCTCCTGCTTTTTTATTTAAGATAATTATAGTGAAATCTAGATTCTAATTATGGTGAGCATCAAACCTCGTATATGTTTGATGTCTTAATAAACAGTGAATGTAAATGGTTTGCGGTTTTATGAAGGAACCTGTGTCTGTGGCTTGGGTAGAAGAAGCCCTGCAAAACTCTAAGTGAATATGAACCATGTTTTTCTAAATTAAAAAATGTATATTTAAGGACTTAACCTCTGTATTTCAATCCTACATCTTTATTTGTTTACATGTTAACATTCTTGACTCTCTTCCCACTTGTAGTCTTAAACTCCTCCAGAGGATGTTTTTGCACTGGTTTCTTAAATTAGTTTCCTACCTACTTGTGGAATTGGAGATCACATAGAAATGTTTTCTGCAAAGTAGTTTCACACTTAAAATGCTCATTGCTGCAAAAAAAAGACTAATCTAGAGTCTCATTAACATCCTCATGGTGAAAACGATAGCAATTCATTGTAAGCTGCTTGAGACTGAACTTGTCTTTTGTAATGTTTATGTACAGTTTGTAGCACAAAGGGGTTTAGGTTTATGATTAGAGTCCTTGGGCTACCA